ATTTAAATAAGAGCCCAAGGAAAACCCCCCCCCCCCCAAAGCAAGCACAGGCAGCCTTCCCAGCTCCGTTGCCGGTGAGGGGCACTGGGACTGCTTGCACAGCAACGCATGGGGAAAGGGACTTCTCCAGGTATGCGAAGGCAAGGCTAAAGCAACAAGGATTTGGCCTCGCAGAGACAACCGTGACCTTTGAGAGAGAAAGCTGCCTCCTGCCATTCACGCACACCCATGTTGTGTGCTGAGCCCCTTCTCCAGGGACACCTGGGGATGCTGCATCCCCTACAAGGCTTGACTCAAAGCACTTCAGCATGTGCCGACCCTTCAACCACGCTCTAGGACCCCAAAGTGGGACCTTGCATCAAAGTTGAATGCTGTGTCAGGCCAAACCGGGGGAAACCCAAGGAAAGAGGGGTGCCTGAAGAAGCTGGCTGCTCATGCTGCTGTGAATCCATGGTCCCTTAAGCTTTTGAAAGCTGAATCGCCCTCCCCTGGGAGAAGATAAAGGCTGTAATTCTCCACTGCAGTACTGCCCTGTGTTACCAGCTCTGCTGTGCACTTAGTCACAATCTAGGGGTACAGTTGAAACCAGTTTAAAATCTTGGTTTACTTTGCAACCGCAAACCCTTAGCAGGCTGTTTAAAACCAGGTTTCTATATAACCATGCCTGGGTGAGAGAGAGGTTGCATCACTTCTGTGCTTTAAAGATTGTTGTGTTTAGATGCAGCTTCAGGCTATAGATTTCAGGAAAATACAACTTCATCCTTCATACAACTCCACTCTCAATTTCAGGGAAAATACAGTTCGTTGTACAATGGTTCCTTTTCTCCTATTCCCCTTTGATAAGCAATAAGTTACAAGCTCTGGCCTGAAAAGCATCACCACCGGCATTTGAATTAGCACCCACTGAAATTAAAGCAACTGCTTGTATCAAAGGTGTCATTTCAGGCTCTTTTCAAACTCTAGCTAACATTAATTACTGTCACAGTGATACCAACCTTAACTGCCCAGTATGCCAGCAAACTCGGATGTCAGTTTTACTGCATAACCGATCCTAAATACTTCACTGAACTCCTTGCAGCAGGCAACTGCAAAGAAAAGATCCTTGTAGCATGAGGTAACATAGTAAAGTCAAACAGGGGAAACTCCCTGCTGAAACCATGTCCACGTACAGGACAACCAGGTGATCAGGCCCAGTCAGCATGAGTTTGTGAGAGGCAGGTCCTGCTTGACCAACCTGATCTCCTTCTATGACCAGGTGACCCGCTTGATAGATGAGGGAAAGGCTGTGGATGTGGTCTACCTGGACATCAGTAAGGCCTTTGACACTGTCTCCCACAGCATTCTCCTAGAGAAGCTGGCGGCTCACGGCTTAGACAGGTGGACTCTGCGCTGGGTCAAAAACTGGCTGGACGGCCGGGCCCAGAGAGTTGTGGTGAATGGAGTTA